AAATTGATTTCGAAAAAGAAAATGAAGAGATGAAGATAGAGGATGAAAAATGCGAAGCATTTATAGGGGGTGAAGATGAAGAGGCAGAATATGAACAGCCACATTTCTGTCTAATAAACGGAATTAAATAGCCCTAAGTTTTGGGAACAGTAGTGGGAATATCAAAAGGGAATGGACAAGATTCTTAATGCAAAGTAATTAAGTGCTTAAAGAATTGATGACTAAAAAATAAACGTCAAATAAATGCACAAGAAGTTAATGTTTATTAATTATGAACAAAGTTACAAAGGGAAAAATCGAATTACAAAAGAAAAAAGACATCGTATGTCTTAATTCAGTCTACCCCATAAAGAACGAATTCGTTCCCTAAGTTTTTCCCAATCCTCATCTGTCGAGAGGAAGTGATGTTCAATTCAGCCGCGACGTCATCATCATCAACTTCCAACTTCTTGTACTGCTCGACCAAGGACTTAGTTCGCTCAATTCCCTAGGAGGCGTTGCGATTTTAAACCGCCATCCTCGCCCTGCAGTCGTCCATTTTAGCTTGAAGTTCCCTCATCTGAGCAGCCAAGTTAACCATCAAAGAGTCTTCAATCATGACTTCGGAGGAGATTTCTTTCAACTCGTCCTCAGCCTTGTTAATCTCCATACGCAAAGACTTTTTCTCAGCTACGGCTCGAAGATATTGAGTACGCTTGGCCTTTAGTTCAGTATTCTTGGCCAGCATAGAAAGGACCTCGGAGTGGACAACCTTCAACTTAAAATCGGCAGAAAGATTGAGCGACGGAAGCGTCAATGCTTGCTCCAACTTCGCACTCAAGTGCTCAAGTTCATTCTTGTGCCTGGCAGCACTAGCCCTTCCAATATCCATATCCATGAAGGATACGTACTCAAATATTAATTCCTTCAGGAACTTCAAGTCTTCCTCTGAAGAAGCAGCAGGACGATCGGATGGAGCAGGGCGAAACGTCTGAATTTGCCCTCAGGAAGCGAACAAGTCTTGGATAGACCGCACAATCCTGTCAGCATCCTGCAAAGAAGACTGCCAATATTGAAAATCCTCACTACAACGAACAAGGTGGAAATAGAAGTGAAGCAAAAAACTACCTCGTCGACAATCGTAGAAGATGGCGCGCCTTCAGCCAAACTTACCACCAACGACTCATCCATTCGTGAGGACTTTCCCTTGTCCGGGCGAGAAGATGTTGCCACAACGGATGGACTCATAGGAGTATCTGCAAAGCTCAAGAGCAACAAATCAGAAACCAATAGCACGAGCAAAGGTAAGACATCAAAAAAAAAAAATTGAATTACCTTCTGCTTCGATGTTTGGGGGGTCGACGCCCTGGGAAGAAGGTGGCTCATCCATGGGTTGTGATGAGGATTCTGGGACTGAAGATGTCTCTTTAAGCGTAGCCCCCTCATCAACCGGTTTGGATGAAGTAGTCTCAACAGAAGATGATGGGGCAGGAGTTGTCGATGTCAAAGCCTTTGAAAGAGAAGCTGAACTTTTCTGAGAAATCCAAAAGATCATTAGCACACAGAAAAGTTTCAAGTGTGGAAAAGTATCTTGTAAGTAAACCAATTTAATTACCTTCCTCCTGACAATAAGAGGGGCATCATCATCATCATTGACATCATCCTCCAGAATGGGAGATGCTGAGGCTGGCCGTTTACGGCTTGGAGCACTCTTGGCTGTAGTAGGCTTGGCAGGGAGGGAAGAAGATGGACGAGCAGATTGTTTAGTGCGATGAGAAGGAGAGGGGCTCCGAATAGACAAAGGAGTGACCAAAACAGGAGGAGGAGAAGAAGAAATACTCGGTTGGTCTAATGAATGAAAGGCACGATTGGTCTTAGTCGCAAATAATCTGCGCTTCACCGATGGCCAGAGTTGTTCAAAAAGAGGGTGAATGGCATGGCTAGAATTGAAAGGGGCCAATGAAAAATGACTGGTTAAAAGGAGATTACGAGCATCTATAGCCTCTGCCTCCGCTTTAGTAATGGTATGAAAACGGTCAACTAAATTTTTTGAATAGCAAGGAGGAACAGGCCAAGTTTGGCCAAAAGCAAACTGGTGAGCAAAAAATTGGGGAGCATAAGTCTCTACCCCTGCCTTGGCATTAGTCCCAGTTAGAATATCATGAAATAGCTCCCTCCCGGTTAAAAACTGAATCCAAATGAGCAGGGAGGTGCTCGCGCTATCTATGGTGGAAGGGGGATGTACATAGTTTGGAGTCAAGAAAGGAGGAAAAGGAAAAAAGAAAGAGATTGAATCTAAAGAATAAAAGAATGAAAAAATGTCCCTTCTGGACATATTTACAGGAGTTAGGGGCTCCATAGCTAGCCCGGATGGAGCATCAAGCGATGGAAAATAGGATCTCAACCACAGTTGAGTAAACCAAAGAGGTCCACTGCCAGTGGGAGATGCACAATTCTTCAATTGAGCTTGAAAAGAGGCCATGCCTCTATAAAGGGCAGCCAAAAACAAAGAACATAAATTCAAAGGCCTGCCACGCGCCAATTCGTGCGCTATAGGTAAATAACTCAGAGAAGGCTTTATACTTGGCACGCATAAAACATATTTACAAAGCCAAACTAAAAGGAAGGCCACTCGCTCAGTGTGGGTAGGCTCAGCACTCGAATGATTGTGGAGGGTCTGCAGGCTTGAATAAGAGTCGGTATAGTTTTTACCAAACTTTGGGGCGCCACCAGAAACTAAGATACCTGGGAAAATGGTATCGCCCAAAGGTGGTAGATTCACCAGGGCCCCAACATCCCTAAGAGTAATAGACATAGGGCCGAGAGGGAAAATAAACGTATTATACTCGAAAGACCAAAAGCTCAAAGCAATCGAAAAAAGTGCAGAATCAAAAGTAGGAGGGCGAATAGAGATTTCTAACAAATCAGAAATCCTAGCGCTATCAAAAAGTGCCTTAGTAGGACCATGACCCACAAGGCGAGCATGCCACCTACGAAAAGCTACGTCAGACTTAGGCCAAGTGCGAATACCTCTTTCGCGAAGTGGCCCCAGCGGCAGAGAGTTTAGAAAAGGAGGGCCATGAGTGCAAGGAAACAGCTGACCCACCGCTGCCTGTTCAACTGCCTCCGCATTGTTGAAGAAAGGACCCAAGTAAAACTCATTACGTCCAACGTCGGCGGGCACGAGAAAACTTGGGGTTATGTATGGGCGACTCAGAAGTCTCTGAAAGTCGTCAAAACTAAAGGAATCGCTAGCTTGAGATTGTGAAGCAGCCATTGGAGAAGGAACGAAGCTTTTCAAGGTTACGTAGCAAGGAAGCAAAAGATGAACAGTGAATTTTGAAAGAGACGCAAAAATATGAGACGTGGTTTGGTAGCAGTGAAATGGCGTTTTTGGGGTTTATAAGGGTTTGCAAAACGACGCACCTTTTCAAGTTATAGAAGGAAACAATGATTGAAATTCTTGGAAATTTCTAGTGTTGCTGAAAACACAAAGTGAATATGGCAAAATTTAATAATTATTATTAATTTTGCCATATTGGGGGGTAATTGTTGACACATAAAAATTCAGCCCAAATCGAACAGCCCAAGGAGTGAAGCCCAATTAGAGGATCCCCAAATCAGATAGCCCAAAGGACGAAGCCCAATCGAACAAAGTAAGATGAAGGCCCAAATAAGGAGGCCCAAGAATGCGGTAACGCCATCGCCCAAGTTTGCAAGTCGCCCAGAATCTGAACGAATAGAGTGTCATACGGTCGCCCAGAGCTGTTACTCTATTCTCGCCCAAACCTCCAAGTCGCCCAAGGTATCAACAAACATAACGCGTCGTGGTTATCAAGAAATACAGTTATCAAAGCAGTTGTTAAAGCAGCCCTATCACGTTCCACGATTTAAGGAATTCAATCGAAAAGCGGTTGAACGATAAAAGATAATGGTAGCAGTTAAAAGGCAGTTTTCATGACAAAATGACCACTACGAAGAAAGTGGGTAGTTATAGGACGATCAAGCAGTTTTCAGAGTAGTTAATCACAAAGAGATCGTCTATGAAGTATAAAAGGGAGAAAGGACATAGAAGCAAGGGACCGAATCCAAGACTCTCGAATAGAGAACATGTAATTTTCATTTCCTTAGTTTTTTTAGACTTAAACACTTTTCTTTCAGTAACTCGTGTATTTGCGCCCCTTGGAGGCACGTTGTTTTTCATTTCCAATTGTAAAGTTCATCGCCAATAAAAGAACATCCCTTTTTGGGACTTTGTCTCAAGAGGTTTTTGTCCCTTATACAATCGTCTGATCCTTTTTAATTGTTAGCGACTTAACCCGCGCGAAACAGATCTATTTCATGGCTTTCACAACTTTTTAACCACATATTTTAAAAACTTCTATCACCATCTACTAAAAAATCTAATTTTATTCCAATCAAACACCCTCTTAATTAGTATTTGATGAAAAATATATCTACTTTATTAGAGGAGGACAATAGTCACTCAGTGACAATAGGGTTGTAGGAATACGATAGTTGATAAGAGAGTGTGATTGTCAACTTGAATAATATTTGCAAAATGAGTGGATTTTAATAAATTGTATTGAATTATATATAAAATATGAATTTAGAGGAATTTGGAGCAAATAAAAAATGGAAATTTGAGTGTAATTGATATTGATTCATAGCAGCTGAATATTGATATGATTGCTCTGGATTGATAAAAATCATTAAGAGAGCAATTGGAGGAAGATCACAAGTTTCGAGAGTGAAATTCAATATTTAAAAAGTTTGAAGATTGATTTGCACACTTTTAAAACTCAAAGGATGCCCAATTCGGATGATTATAGAGGTTTGAGAACCGACATGGAAGCTTTCCGAAGTTACGGGGATCAAAGCCATTAAAATGGAAGCCCATTTAGCCCTTTATTGTTTACTCAAAATATTGGCCCATTTAGCCCACTAAATCTGTGAAGGGCTGAAGCCCAATTCGAATTTATAGTTTATTTTTCTTGCTTTTTGTTTTTTTTTTTTTTTGGTTTTTTTTTCTCACTTTCCTTTGATTCACCAGAAAAACCCAACAATCTGTAATTTGTGCTATTGAGAAGGAACAAAAGGTACCCAATTTCACACTATATTGTTCCATGTGGTTTTTTTTACAGTCCAATTGATTATCCTTTTATTGTTGGAAGTTTTATTTTTTCTCTTCTACCACAGGGAATCCATTTTCGAATTGAAAAGTGTTCTTTTGGAATTTGATTTCAGTACCTTCATGTTCTGCTTCTATCTTATGTGTATGGTTACAAATAATTTGCAAAACTTTCCCTTTCTACTTGCGTTTTTGGATAATTTCGTGGCTTCGGGTTTCTGCACTGTATAGATTTCCTTTTGCCAAAAAAAGCCAAAAAATCAGAAAATGGAAATGTTGGTATACGTCACGAGTGCTTCTTTGACAATGAATGGAGCTAGAGAAAATAGTTATTGTTTGGCCATTATAATAATAAGTGACTTCTTGTAACAAATGACACTGGAATGTGTGATCTCTACAGTTGAAATCAACAATATACAGAGTAAAAATCACTTGGAAGCTGAGACAACTTCAATTATTTTTTTCTTACCTTTTTTTTTTTTTTTTTTCTTTGGGCTGAGAAAGATGGAGTTTTCTTCCTGTGAATGGAAATAAATTCTAAGCAGAAAATTTTAAGTAACTAGAAGGGAGTTTGATACCACTTTCAAGTATTATTCATATCCCTGACAAATGCTCAATGGCTAAGAAATATTTGGCATATACTAAAGAGAATATTGGGGCATTTTTCTTTTTTGGTTTCAGATTGCTTTTACAATTAGTTGTATATCCGATTACTTCCATTTCAATCTCGAAGAACTGATGGTTTGATTCGATTTTTGAGCATTTCAGCATTGAGGTGAATTGATTTTTTATTTTATTTTATTTATTATTATTATTGTTGTTGTTGATTAATCCATCTTTGGAATTTTTATTTATTTATTTATTATTATTTTTTTTTTCGAAGTGCTGATTTCTGCTCTTCATCCCAATTTCAGAGTGCTGCAAAAGTGCAAAGTTCAAGGTCCAATTCTCCAACCTTAGTTGCAGTTTCTGTTTTTCTGGTTTTCATCGGTTCATCAGTTCATTCAATTTGGCTGATTTGGGTGAGCTTATAAGGCACAAACAGGCTATTAGGCTCATTTCTCAATTTTAGTAGGCACGAGCTAAAAGGAAAAATGGAGGCATCGTCTCCTTCACTCAATTTCAGAAGGTACTCTTACTCTCTTTTTTTAACCTATCCTTGTTGTTTCTAAGATTACATGTGTAAGTTTCCCACTTAATGGCACTAAATTGAAGTTACTGGTTAGTTTAATTGCCGTCTTTTGAATTGATGTTTGTTTTGTTGATGGAAAATTTTCAAGCCCTACAAGTAGAGTAACTGGAAGAAAACCTGGATGGGCAATTCCTGAACTTGTAAGATTACGTAAAAACCACTTGAAAAATAGATACTTACCATTGAGGTTGTGTTTGGCCACGGCAAATGGTGGTGTTAGGGTGGAGTTGAATGGGATTGGTGATGGAGATGGTGTAATTATTGTTGATCATGGTTCGCGTCGACAGGAGTCCAATCTAATGTTAAGTAAGCTTTTCTGTTACTTCAATACTGTTGAATTCTCCATGTGAATTGTAAAATTATGGTGTTAGATACTTGATTTACTTTGAGTTAAGCACGTGTCTGCCCATGTGTTTTCTGAGAGTTGCAAATTAACCTCCTCTCTATGAATAGGATATAAACTCCACCTTATGGAATTTATGTGTGCGGCTAATATTGTTTTGAGTTAAATGATGAATCCAGTTACTGGATGGAGACACAATTGTTTAATAAAATGTTCCACTCATGTTAGTATTCAAGGACAGGGAAATGACATGCTAATATTGTAAAAAGCAAGAGGACTTAGTATCCCTTCATGTTTTTTGTTTGGGGTCGGGTAGTGGGGGAAGGCAAAACAGCAATGAAATGCAAGGGGGTAATTTGTTTCTTATTCTTACACGATCACTTTATTTCCATTGCCTGAAATTACGATTTTTTATTTTATTTTTATTTTTTTCAGACGAGTTTGTGGAAATGTTCAGAGAGAAAACCAAATACCGAATTTTGGAGCCTGCTCACATGGTACAGTTTACATTTATCAGTTGATCTTTTGCTTAGAAACTCCAGATGTGGACAACTGAATTTTATAATATGATATGTGCATACATGCTAGTTAATACACACACTCAATCCCTTGTTCAATTGTTGCTGTCCGTAGTTCATTCAAACAACTTCTCATTCGCATTTTAAACTGTTTTTTTACACGGCCTTTGAAATTGAATTTTAAATCCTTTTGAGTTTCTTCCTAGGAACTGGCTGAGCCATCAATCAAAGATGCTTTTGGATTATGTGTTCAGCAAGGAGCTCATCGTATAATAGTGAGCCCCTTTTTCTTGTTTCCTGGAAGACATTGGCACCAGGTAAGTCAAACATAAAATACCATAACACCTTGCAGTCTAGTTGGTGTGGATATTTCATAATTTGTGACATCAGAAAGTCTAAATTAGACACTGGAATAAAAGGCCAGCGAAAGTAAATTTGACCATTGTGTTCAACAGGATATTCCTTCTTTAACAGCTGAAGCTGCAAAGGAGCATCCAGGTGTGTCATTTGTCATTACAGCTCCACTTGGTCTCCATGAGCTGCTCGTGGTATGAACTTATCCTTTTCCTCTGCCTGTTGTTTCCTTTATTCATCTTTATTGGGTTTCTATCCATAACTTTAACTAGACTTCCCTTTTTTCTTTTCTTTTTGTTGTTGAACCTATCCAAAACCATATGCTAGGATCGCTAATTGGTTATTCCTTTCTGGAAATGACCATACTAGCGTGTATAATCTTATTACAAATCCCACGAGTCTTTAGCATTTGACTTCTGCTTCTCCTTGAAGAGCTTTTTGAGGAAGCTACTTCGGTCAACTTTCTGTAAAACCTTTTTTACTCAAACGAAACATGTCTAGAAAATTGACCAAATGGGAAATGAGGCTTAGCCCCTGTTTGATCCTCATTTTGGAGTAAAATGTATTATAGAATTATGATTTTTTAGGGAATGTGTGGTTAAATAGTAAGGATTTTTTTTTGAAATATGTGTATTAATTATTTTATGGGAGAATGTGTGGTTGAAAATGACATTTGAAAAAAATGCATTCCTGGAAAAATGGGACTCAAACAGGGCTTAGTAAATTCAGACCAAAAGGCCCTTAATTGCCTGGTGTGGTTGAGAATGATTTGATTTCATTGGATCTTTAAATAGATGTTGAATGTTGTGGACAGAAAAGATTCATGTTGGTTACCCCAAATGGGAAATGAGGATTAGTATATTCTTTGTTCTCATTTTTTTTAAAAAATCCTTCGTTAAAGTATCTAGCATTTAGTGTGTGATATATGAGTTGGCGTTTGTTGAGATCATTCTACTTCAAAGTTTCCATTAACTAGGCAATATGGAGCCCTTTTCAATTGAAATAGAAAGAAACATATGTTATTAATTTTTTCCAAGGCTGTTTGCTGCACATTACTAGTGAATAAATAAATTTGGTGTTACAGGATGTGGTGAATGACAGAATCAAGCATTGCTTGAGCCATGTTGCTGGAGAAGCTGATGAATGCTCAGTTTGTGCTGGAACAGGAAAATGTCAGGTTTATAACTAATATGTTTGGAAACTTGGTTACTAGTCTCCATCCTTAATAGCTCTTTCAGCTCAAAGACTGGGGAACTACCTAGTAACATGTAATAAAACTGTACCGTTCAACTGTTATCTTGAGATGATATTATCCAGCTCATATGGGGAGATTTATTCGATACTTAATGATGTCTGGTGGAAATCCTTATACTTGTGACAGAAATGTGTTCTTTTCAGTCCAAGGTACATTCAGCTCTGGAAATGAATTATCTGGATTTTGTAATTATTCTAAACTAAAAATGAGATTGCATTCTTATACCAAAGTTAGTTAATTCGGTATTGGATTTCATTCACTTTCATTTGTTTTTATAATTTAATTGAAGACATAATTTCTTGTCCATCCTCAACTAAAGACGGGGGCATTTTTGGTATGCCACCGTAGGCACCATTCCATAGAACACGGATAAGATTTTAACTTTTTTATTTCTTCTTTAATTTGTCAATAATATGCCGTAAGAGAATGTTTGGTGTGATAGATTGAATAGGACATAAAGTAAGCGTGCACAACCTTAATCATATCTTGTTATTTTGCAATCTAAAACATAGACGTGCAATATTGGTATTTTTCGTATCTTGATGGAGACCACAAGACATGATTAAGGAAAAGTAGTATGCAATGCATTTTTTTGTTCTCCCTATAATATGAAATGTTTGTTGATTTCGCTACAATGTAACAAATATTAAAGATATCTTATGCAATGTTAGATTAATTAAAGAAGTGAAGTATGTCTCAAGATTTGTGAAGTATGTTGTCCAATGTCGTCTAGTTTAATGTTTTAAATATGACATGATGACGTGTTTGCTACCTATGATCCATGACATGAGTTCAAATTTCATGTTTCTTAATAAAAGATTGATACGTCCCTTCGATTGTACCCCTCATTAATTTATAATTTATTTCACTACGAAAACTTTAAACATTGTGAGAGAAGGAAATTGAAGAGTATAATTTAGTGAGACGGTAGGTTGTTCATTGATATCAGTTAACATAGAAAATCACCTCCGATGATAAGCAAGGTAGATCACTACATGCCAATGCAAAGCCGTCGACCCCCTATGAGCACTCTTATCTTTAGGCGAGACCATCGATCTCCTATGGGCGCTCTACTTCTACGCATGGCCATCAACCTCTCGGGGGCGCTCTACCTCTACGCGTGGCCATCGACCCCCATGGGTGCCCTATCTCTACGTGTGCGTGGTCATCGACCTCTTAGGGACAGTCTACCTCTACGTTAGACCGTCGACCCATCGGGAGCCCTATACATCTACGCAAGGCCATCGACCCCCCTATGGGCGCTCTGCCTCTACGTGTGACCATCGACCTCTCGGGGGCGCTCTACCTCTATGAGAGACCGTCGACCCCCCGGGTGCTCTATCTCTACGAGAGACCGTCGACCCGTTGGGGGCGCTCAACCTTTACGAGAGATCGTCGACCCCTCGGGTGCTCTACCTCAACGCGAGACCATCGATTGGCATGGAATTACCTGTAGGGCCATCTCAACACTTAGTCATAAAATATCTGATGAATTGTTAATGTTATATGGCGGTTACCACGAGCACAACCTCCGGACGGAAAGGTAAGACCCCCCACTCATAACGTGGGGACAATGGGAAGGCCAACATGATGACACGTGGCACCACAACCACCTAGCTCTCACTCGACTTCCAACGTCTATAAATACCCCCGATGGCGACATAGGTATGGATGGCTGCATATTTTTCAGCCATCTGAATTCCGTCCTTATTTCTCCTAACACGTATACTAATTCTTACGCCAAAGGTAAAATGGGGGAGAAAGTCCCGTCCTCACTTTTCAGGTTACACACGCTTGTCGGAGCAGCAGAAACGCTAAAGGCCACCAGGTAGATAAGGAGGCATTATTCCATAACCACCCCATCCTCACTTTTCAAGTTACACACGCCCGTCAGAGTAGCAGGAACGCTAAAGGCCACCAGGTAGATCAGGAGGTATTATTCCACCACCATTTCATTGTCGCCGTCTATGGGAAGTTTCTTCTATTGAATACCAAAGCCATGTCAAGAAGACGGACAAGAAGTGACACGCGTTTAAGAGCAGCAACGGCGAAGACGGAATCAGAATAGTCACAGGGGCCTTGATCCGCCACTGCCATCGCAATATGTGACACAAAGCCAGTTCAGTGCCCTGGAGACCCAGTTAGTGGCTATGATGGCCCTCTTGCAGGATCAAACGCAGAGAGCCGCCCTCCCGTTGCATTTGGTGGAAGCCGTGCCACCACCCCAGGAGGCACACATAGAAATATCGCCTGTCATCCAATTGGTAACTGCAGGCTCGGGGGGCTCCAGGGGTTACGGTCTTGCAGCCCACCCCACCCATGGCGGATATGGAGAGGAGAATGGAGGAGATCATGAAGCAAAAAATAGATGATGCAATATCAAGGAGAAAGGATAAGCGCAAACAGATGGTCTTAGAAGAAGACCCATTTGCGCTTGAAATTATGGCGATCCCCTTGCCTAAGAGCTTCAATCAGCCTATGACAGAAGCTTACGGCGGAGTCATAGATCCACTTGACCATCTTCGGACCTTCGTTGATTTAATGAGGCTCTATGCAACAGTTGATGCAGTGATGTGCCAATCTTTTCCCCTGACCCTCAAGAGAGAAGCTAGAGACTAGGTGGCAACACTTGCCCCCCGATCTATCCAAACATTTGATGAACTTTTCAGGAGTTTTATGGCCTACTTCCTCAGTAGTAAAAGAAAGAGGAAGACGGCTATCAGGTTGATGTAGGTGGTCCAGGAGAAGGATGAGTCTCTGCAAGAGTATGTGGCCAAATTCAGCAGAGCGACCATTGGAATAGAGGACCTTTAAATGTCGGTAGTGGTGACCGCGTTGATGAATGGAACTCGAAATCAGGCCTTTAAGATGTCACTTTCCAAAAATCCCTCGGAATCAATGCACGACCTATTGAAAAAAGGAGACAAATACGTTGATGCCGGGAAGCGGAGAAGGTTACAAAAAACCTCAGAGAGGGATGGGAAGTAAAGAGTCACAAGCGAAAGGCAAGAGACGAGCTAAGGTCTGCCAACAAAAATAGGCCAATGAGTGAGCAAATGGATAAGAGGGCAAACCAAGACCAACAAGCCAGACAAAAACGGGAGGAGTCCAGGGTCTTTATCCCTTTAAACACTCCGCACACTAAGCTGTTGATGGAAATACGAGACATAAAGGAGCTTGAATGGTCGAGACCCATGGCAACGCCAGCCGGCAAGAGAAACCAGGGCAGAAATTGCCATTTCCACAAGGATCATGGGCACGATATTGAAGAGTGCCTACAGCTGAAGGAGGTGATCGAGCGCCTCTTAAGATAGGGGGCTCTTGAGCAAATACGTGAAGGACAATCGGGGCAAACAAGAAATGGAGGACTGTCCCCACCTAGAGCTGGAGTTCTAAACATGATTGCAGGGGGGATAGCAGGAGGCGAAAATTCAAACTCGGCAAGAAAAAGGTACGCATGTTCTCTCGGGATCCGTTCCATCCAAAAAAAGGAGAGATTTAGTCAGAACATCACTTTTGACGATGATGATTTGATGGGTGTGGGGCATGCCCCCCATGATGATGCTGTGGTAATAATATGCGACATAGCAGATTTCAATGTCAAGAGGGTGCTAGTTGATGGAGTACAGCAAATGTACTTATATGGGATGCTTTCTTGGGCTTAAAGATCTCTCCTGATAAGTTGAAACTGGTAACCACCACCTATAAAGCTTTGGAGAGGTCATGGTAATTCCGGAAGGAACCGTGGAGCTTCCTGTCACGCTCGGCACACGTCCGAACACTCTGTTAGTTGTGGCGAATTTCTTAGTTGTTAAAACTCCTATGACCTACAGTGCAATCTATGGTCGACCATTACTGAACGTAGTCGAGGCCATCCCTTCAACCTATCATCAGGTCATGAAATTTCCAACCAAGAAAAGAGTCGGGTATGTGCGAAGGGGCCAACAAGTGTCCAGGAAATGTTATGTCGACAGCATATCAGTCAAGGGAGACCCACTAGTCATGATATTGGAAGTTGAACCTCCAAAAGGGCAGATCGAACCACTTGAAATGGTTGAAAAAATGATCATATCGGAAGGACTGGAGTTTAGCGTTGGGACTGGTTTGGAACCTGACGAAAAGGGAAAGTTGGTAAGGTGCCTTGCATACAACCTAGATGTTTTCGCTTGGAGCCCGAATGACATTATCAGGATCAGCCCAGCAATCGCTCAACACTACCTCGGTGTCTTGCTCGGAACTAAACCAACGAAGTAGAAGAAAAGAAACCTCACCCTCGAAAGGCAAGGAGTAGCAAAAGCGAAGGTGGAAAAACTACTGCAAGTTGGTTTCATTCGGGAGGTGTAGTACCCTGAGTGGTTGGCCAACATCGTGCTAGTGAAGAAGTCAAACAAAAAATGGCACATGTGTGTAGATTACATCGGGCTCAACAAAGCATGCCCAAAGGACTCATACCCACTTCCTTGGATAGACCACCTGGTCGACGCCACGTCAGATCATGAAAGACTTAGCTTTCTGGATGCATTTTTCGGGTACCATCAAATCTCTATGGCGGAGTTCGACCATGAGAAGACATCATTTATCACAGATTCTGGGACATATTGTTACACGGCCATGTCGTTCGACCTCAAAAATGCAGGAGCAACCTATCAAATGATGGTGAATAAGGTCTTTCGGGAACTAATCAAAAATGTCATAGAAGCTTACGTCGACGACATAGTAGTGAAAAGTGTCAAAGCTATTAATCATGTGGCTTGTCTACAAAAAGTATTTGATGTGGCCCGACACAATAACTTGAAGTTCAACCTGGAGAAGTAAGTCTTCAGTACTGCCAGTGGAAAGTTCCTAGGCTTCATGATCACCGAAAGAGGAATTGAGGTAAACCTTGACAAGATACGGCAATACTAAAAATGAAGAGCCCCACTAGTAAGAAAGAGGTTCAGCGGCTGACAAGGCACGTGGCGACCCTCAATCGCTTTATGAGTCGGGCGACGGATAAGTGCTACCACTTCTTTAAAGCCATAGGGGGCTCCACCAATTTCGAGTGGACTCAAGAGTGCGAAGAATCGCTGGAATCCTTAAAGAAGTCACTACAATAGCCTCCTATTCTGACCAGCCCATGCTCGGGTGACGTACTGTGTCTCTACCTCACGGTGTCACCACGGGCAGTTAGCGCCGTTCTTGTGAAAGAACTCCCAATGGCACAAAAGCCGGTCTACTACGTCAG